TTTTTTGGCAAGGGAAAAAAAAAAAAAAAAAAAAAAAAAAAAAAAAAAAAAAAAAAAAAAAAAAAAAAAAAAGAAAAAATGAAAAAAAAAACCGGGGGGCGGGAGGAGGCAGGGAGGTAAAAAACCAACAACAAACAAAGCGGTTTCATCCTGGCGACATCCCGACAAGTGAGGGAATAGTGTCCGGAGGGAGATCCGCCCGCCTTGCCCCCCGGTCACCGGGCGCAGCCCTGCCCGTGGCGCCGCTCTCCCCCCCGGGCGCTGCCGCTTTTCTCCCCCGCCGAGCACCGTTTATAATTGAAATAACTGCTTACTAATTATCGGCTATATCTATTAATTGCTTGTTTGTTAGAGCATGACCTAGCAGCCAGCCGCTCTCTGGGCCATATCTCTTAATATTTTTTATTATTTTTTTTTTTTTTTAAATTACATTTTTATCCAGGGAGTGACTCGCTCTCACGGCGACCGAGTGCCTGCTGGGGTACGTCCTCCGGTCCGCTTCCCCTGGGGCGTAGCACCCCTCGGTAGCCACCGGGGCGAGCGGAGGCGGGCGGAGAGCCGCGGGACGGGGCCGGGAGAGCACCCGGGAGGGCACCGCGCAGCAGAGGAGCACCTTGCGCGGTCGCCAAGGCCACGCGTGGCCGAGGCGGGAGGGCACACAGGGACCAGCGCCGGGGAAGAGGCGGTGGCACTAAGGGACAGGGAGCATCAGCCCGTCCCCGGGAGCCTCGGCGGGGCTAACGGCACTTCACGGTCTGGGCTCATCGCTACGGCCCCGAGCCAGGCACGGGTGGGCTCGCCGGGCTCCGGCGGCATCTGGGCTTCCCCCGAAGCGGCGTTTTATCCCCCTAGCAAAGCAAAGCACCGGAGGTAGGGATGGCAAAGCAAAGCTCCGCACCGGCGCTCCCGGGGCCCCTCGGTGCCGGTGGCGATGCCCTGGGCAGTCGCGCAGCATCTCTCCTTCCTCCTCCCGGATGGAGGTTTTGCCCCAGGTCCTGAGCTGGGGGCGGGGATGGGGAACCCAGAGCTCCCCCGCTCCGGTTTTTATGTAGCAGCATCAGCACAGCCCGGGGCGGGCAGTTCCACCGGCCCCGGCGGTCCCTGCAGCCACGCACCGGCTGGGTGCCCGCACAGCACCCCCGCCGCCCCGGGCCCCCCCCCGCTCCCGAGCAGCATGCACAAGGCAGCCCCGCCAGCCGGCAACCTACCTGAGGGGCCCCCAAAAAACTTTTGCGCCGGCACAGGAGACCTCCCCTCAGCAACCTGTGCTGTCCCCCCACCCCGGACACTGCCCCTGCAATCCGGGAGGCGACACCACCACCATCACCCCCCCGCTTCCAAGCTTGTGGCATCTCAGGTCCCTGCCGGGAAAAGCCGCCCTTGCCGCGAGTGTCCCGATGACGGAGGGACCGCGGGCTGACGGCTGAGCTCTCCGCCCGAAGCACGACCCTTTTTCTCCCTAGCCCTGCGGTGTTGTCTCTAAAGGGCCCGGGGAGGCTCGCAGAATCAGGCAGGAGGCAGGGCTCTTCCGAGCACAGCCGCTTTAATTGGCTCCTTTTTCTTTCCTCTCTCTCTTTTTTTTTTTTTTTTTAAAGAAGGGGAATGAAACGGTGAAGAGGGGAGGGGAAAAATCCTGGAAAGCCAAAGGGGAAGAAAACACGGCGCGCCGGGCAGCGCCGGCAGGCAGGGAGGGGAGAGACGGCCCCGGGCCAGCCCGGGCGGCGGGGAGCGGTGCGGTGCGGTGTCCCGCCGGACGCCCCGTCAAGGACCGGCGGAGCGGAGCGCCCTCCGGCCGGCTGGGGAGCGGTGACGCTCCCGGCAACTTTTGCAGGAGATTTTGGTGCTTCGGGAAAAAGCGGTGGGGCAGGCAACCTGCCGAGCGGTTTCCAGCCGGTGTCTGGCAGGAGTAACCCAACTTTCTCCAGCTTCTCATCCCTCCTCGCCGGCTCCATTCCAGCTGCAGCCCCTGGTAGTTCCCAGCGGGAGCTCCGGCAGCCGTCGAGGGAGAGCGACACAGACCTCTCTACAGCTGCAAATCGTCTGGGAGGCGGGCGGAGCGGGCAAGCAGCGGAGCCGAAGCACCCACCCCGAGCCCGGCAACACAACATCGGGGAAAGTTTTGAAGGGAGAAGGAGCTGGCAGGCCGGGGAGGAGGCGAGGAGAGCCGAGCTGAGCTGCAGGCGGAGCGAGGGTGCGTGGTCTGTCTGCTCTCCGTTTGCTTCTCCCTTCAGGCTGGCTGGGGCGATGCAGTGCAGCTGGGGGAGCTCTTGGGAGCCGCTTTAAAAAAAAAAAAAAAAATTAAAAAAAAATCCTTCCTGGATTTGATTAATTACAACAATCCCCTCCCCAGAAGATCTGGAAAAGAGGAGAGAGAATCACCTATCCCTCCCTCCGCCTTTCAGCAGCTGGCTCCTACCCCCCACCCTCGCTTCCCCCCCCTTTTTTTCTCCACCTCCTTCTCTTTCCCCCGTTCGCTCCTGGGGCTGCGGCCAGAGCCTCGTCGGGAGGAGGGAGGGCGAGGACTCTCCCAAGTTGGCCCCAGTTGGCAGCACTTCGGGCAGCGCGGGACTTGGGGCAGCGCTCGGCGGCTCCTGCTGAACAAAGAAACCCCCTTTCCCGCGGGGGCCGGGGGGCAGCGCTGGGCTGGGCTCGGGCCCCGCTCCTGCCCGGTGCCCCCGGGGCCGGCCTTTCCCCGTACCCCGAGAGCGGGCGAGGCTGCCCGTTTTCCTGGAGATCCTCGAGCATCCTGGCGAGGGGAAGCGGGAAGCGGCGCTCCGCTTTCCTGCCCTCCCTGCCGCCTTCGCTCGCTCTCTCCCTCCTTTTTCCTTTCTTTTTTTTTTTTTTTTCTCTTTTTCTCTTTTTAAATTTTATCTCCAGGCGTGGGGGGGTCCCTTCCTCCGCCCCAGGGGCGCCGGTGCCCGGCGCGTAGCGGGGCGTATGGGGCGGCGTTTCGGGAGGCTTTCGCCTGCTCCTGGCTCCCCCGCCGGATGCTGCCTGGGCTGTTTTGGCTGCTTTTCTTCGCCGGCGATGAAGGCTCTGCCTTGAAGATGGAGATGATCTGGTTTTTATTCCTGTCTCTGGCGCCGGTGTACAGCAGGGGACAAGGGGTTTACGGTAAGCGATGCTGTCGCGGTGGCTGTTTGGGGGGGGGAGGCGAGGGCGCAGACGGCGGCGACGGGATCAAAGTTAAAAAGCACCTGCAGGAGAAAGTAAATGATGCCGGCGAAGCGGAGAGATTTATGCAGCAATAGGGCTCCCGCCGCCTGTAGCTACTTCATAATCCCTCGCCGTAACCCCTGGCCGCCGCCGATTTACGGGTCCGCCCGGCTGGCACGGCAGGCAGGGGCCGGCGGCCAGGCTGTGCTGCCGGGGGGGAGCGACCCCGGCCCTGCCTCCCCCGCTCCCCCCACCCGCCTCGCATGGGGATGCCCCGCCGGAGCCGGCGTGCGGAAGGCGGCGGGGTGGCTCCCGGAGCCACTCCGAGTTGCAGTTTCTTTGGGGCAGGGGGAGGACGGAGGGTCCCCTCCTCTTCCTCCCCTCCCCGCCCTGCCCCGGCGGGTTGGCTCCTTGCGGGAGCACCGGGGCGGTGAAGAGGCGGGCGGCCGGGATTCCGTGCCAGGGGTCCCCCCCGCTGCCGGGGGCACCCCCCGTTCCCCGCCGCCGCCGAGCAGGGCGGTGCTCCCCGGTCCGCTCGGCCCGCCGGCTCCCCCCGCACAGCCCACGGCCAGCCCCGCCGGGCTCCCTCCCCTCCCGGGGGCGGGGGGCGAGGGGTGACACTGCCTTTGCACCCTATTGAACTTCGCTGCCGATTTTCTTCTCCGGAGCGCGGGGATGGGTGGGGGGTGGTCTGTGGCACAGCTGATGTCGAGCTGCTTGGGTTTTTTTTTTCTCTTTTTTTTTTTTTTTTTTTTTTTTTTTTTTTTTTTTTTTATTTTTTTTTTTTTTTTTTTTTTTTTTTTTCCAGTTATGATGCTTACTTCCCCTCCTTGTTTGCAGGCAGGGTGGCAAATGGCAAGCTCGGGTGTCCCCCTGAGAGGTCTTGGCTCCCGCAGCCCCTCTGCTTCCGAGGGCAGAGAGGAGGGCAGGGGGCAGAGGCTGGGGATGGCACCCCGTGCCCCCACCGAGCACCAGCCCTGGGCTGAGAGAACAGCCGGGATTTACTTTAGCCAGCCGCGCGGCCCCCCTTTCCCTCTCCCAGCCCTCTCTTAATTCTTGCTTTACAAGATCTGCATTTCCAATACACTGGGAAAAAATAAATAAAAGCAACCCACAAGACTTGCCTCTAATAACAAGCCGGCTTTATCTTGGCTTACAACTCAGTTGTGCGTTGCTGTAAAGTCCTTCTGGAAGGCATGCCTCTGCCTCTAACAAGCCAAGCTCTCTGAGCTCTGAAGAGAGACCCCAGTGAGAGAATCCAGCCCCCCCGCTCCCCCTTTTTTAACAGCACGCAGCCAGTCTCTTGTGTGAGCTCTGGCAAAGATCAGTTCAGTCTCACTGTCTATGGGTAAGTCTTTGTAGGTCACTTTTTAATGATGTATTTCTTTAATGGAAACAATTCCTCCTTTCTCCTTGAGGGCTGGGATGTTAATTTGAGTTTGGGTCCATTTTGTAAAATAACCATTTTAAAAAGAGGGTATTTAGCTTCCTTTCTTTTTTCTTTCTTCCTCCCAGTATATGTGTTTTCTCCCAGTCTGCCTGTCCAGAGGAAAACTGTAGGACTCTACGAAGGCTGGAAAGATGAGGAGTGGAATGAGTTTGTGGTAGAGAGACCTGGTCAGGGCAGGTTATTTAATCCTTTAGAACAGGTAATCTGCTTCTAGCTGAACTTTTTACTATTTTGTTTTAGTGTGCTTGCTGCTCAGCAGCTGTCACTTGCTGTAGACTGGCCTCTCTGCTCAGGTTTGTAGCAAGAGGGACAGAGCTTAAAACCGGTTTTTCTTAAATGTGCTTTAGAGGGTTGCCTGTTGTTTTTTTTTTTCATCCACTTCAGTGAACTTGCATTTGATAGAGTTGCTGCTAAATTAGATCCTCAGAATAACTTACTGATGTTTTTGTCTTTTTCTCTCAGAGAGAGATGGGAGAAGCTGTGTACAAAAGAAAGCGCACATACAGACATGCACTAAGATGAAGGCATCCTTTTAAGCCAAAATGGTACACTACTTCTATCTATTCTCCTACTTAACTACACAAAGGAGAAATCGGGTCTCTTCCCTCCTCTCCCCTCCCCTACCTCTTCAAACTATCTGTTGAGACCATCAGGAGCCTTAATAGGCAGCTGTCTGAGTGCAGCCCAGAGCGGTATCTCGCAGAATCAGCACACCGCAAACTTCTATGGTGACTAATAGTTCTCATATTGTCTTTCTCAACCCTGCCTTCAGTCCACTACCCAGCACTGATTTCATGCCTCGTGCAGCCAGCACTGTTTGCTTGGATGTGAAATTGCTTATTGATGGTTCAAGAAGAGCCAATGTACTGTTATATTTGCAAGGATAAATAAAACAGTATTAGAAACTAGTCCTACCGCACCTCCCCTGCCCCCCGACTTTGGTTTGTCCTAAATGTTAGTCTTTCTCACCATAGCTTTAATCTGTACTTGAGCGTTCTGTGTTGCAAATGTTGATCTCGTGTGGCACTTGATGTAGAAATTACGGGAACTCAAGTATCAGGTTTCAGGTCTGTTTTTCTGCTTTTGAATATTTATTTATGGCAATGGAGATGGGAGGAGGCATCTATATGGGTCTATAAATATATTTTACTTCAGTAAATCTGCTGAGATTAAATCAGATTAAACGAGATAAAGTATCCATGTGATGTACCCTTTAAATAATACACCCACATGGATGCGCACAAAAGACCTCTGTCTAAGGAGAGCGGAGTTGTTGGAGAGGTTTATTGAGATGAATGGTATAAATAAAATGTGTGTAAGGGGGTTTCTGGGAAAGGAGCATTTGCAATGGAGGTGCAATTTAATTAGGAGTCAAGGTGCTTTTAGCCTGCTACCTGAAGAGACTTGTTATATAAATTGGCATTTGTTGTAATGACTGGAGTGTGTCTGAAACCCTCTTCTCATTAGCTGATCCCATCCTTTCAGCCTTGTTCGTTGCAGCAAGACAAGGCCAGCCTGATAGAGAAGGCAGTTCAGCAGACAGCCAAGAGGCAACTTTTATTAGCCTTTTGTGGTAGCCCATTTCCCAAACTGCATGTACTTTTCAGTCCTGGTGTATTAACGCTGTTGGTCAAGATGAGGAGCAAGCTGTAATTGATCTCTGGGAAATTTCGGACTTTAGGGGGAGGGCGGAAGAGGTTAAGGAGAAAGAAGACCTGCCCTTCCAGGTTTGGAGTTCCCGGCACTTAAAGACTATAAGTCAGACTGAAAGGGGAGGATGGAGGGGGGTTCCAAAGGGGAGACTATGCCTCTTGCTCCCCAGACAGCCTTGCAGACCTCGGGACTTGCGTAGCTCTGGTTCAGAGCTTGCACGGGGCTGCCGCTTTACTTACTCCTTGCGCAGTATATAATTAGCATTTCTAGGTTGTCTTGCAACCAGCACAGTCCAGCTGATCAGCAGCAGCCTCTCAGGCTGAATAAAAGAGTGGGATGTTTCATCCCCCACCTCTCATAACTCACCTGCAGAAAAGGCATCTCAGGAATGGTCATCGAGCTGCGTGATGAGGGGCTTCTGCAAGGTGATGGAAAGGGAATAAAAGGAAGGTTTAGGCTGGGCAGCAACGGTGATCAGGGGGGCTGGATGGGCTCCATTACTTCAGGCACTTGAAACCGGTGAGGGTGAAGCACTTGCAGCACAGAGTAGTCCTGCTCTGGCCTCTGAGGTGGGGAATAAATGACCCAGTAAAGCTCTTTCTTTAAAGAGACATCATCGCACTGAATCACCTGTGAGATGCCATTACAGGCAGCCAAAAAACCTAGTGGAAGAATGTTTTCTTGTGTCTGCGATGGTGGAGTGTCATGGTAAAACATATCCTGGGTTTAGGCCATAAACATCCTCACTTTTTCATTTCACGTACACATGACGTGATTTGTTTCCAGCTCCTTTTACCTGTAAAGTAAAAGCCTCTTTTCCTAGAGTTTCCAATGCGGCACTGCCAAAGCAGGGTGCCTCATGCTGTGTTTAAACTTCTGTGTGTCTTTTGCTGCCTGTTTCTGGGGACACACAAACACCTTGAGCCTGGTGACCTGGGCCAGTCCCTCTCCCCTGGCCCTGCCTGTAGCTGTTTTTCCAGTGGAAACAGGAGCCCAGGTGAGGAACTCTTCAGCTTTCTTGCTGTTATCCCAGTGCATCCTGTGCCATCAGAAATGGGTGAGCAGATCACTGGCTGCAGTAGTGGTGGAGCTGGCTCCTGTGAGCCACTTCTTGTCTGATTCTGTTTGGAGGATCGCTGTGCTCATAAATTGCATTTTCCAAATTATATATATATATTTATATGTTTGTGTATGTATATATGCACACAGGTACCCACATCCTTTGTGCTCAGCCATTTCTCTTCATTGCCCAGCCCTTAAATCTACAGTGGCTTAGGCTGTAGCCTTTTGGTTCCAGGAATGAGTTTTGTATCTGGAAGGCTATAGGAATAGTCTCACCTAAGGACGGGGTCGGTCCAAGATTTGCATAGCTCTTTAGCAGCTCTTTAAGGTCAAGGCATTAAATCTGTCCAGCCCTGTGCTTCAGTGTGCCTCGCTGTTCTCCAACTCTAGTATGTCAGATTCACCCTCCTGTGACACCAGAGCC